CCCCATTGATTTCCTTTTGCTAATTTTGTTCCATTGGAGTTTTGGTTTTTAATTTACTTTTCTATGCTATTTCATTTATTTGACTCTTTTTTTGAGCATATTTTTTGTTTAAATTTGCATAGGTTTTGCTGGTTACGATTCTTTTCACCTTTTTCTCTTGTGTATTTTGTAAATGTAAGACCTCACCACTGACTGTGAGTGCCACCGCTACAAAGGTGTAGTGTCACCAAATAAATATAATAAAAGTAGTGATGGACGAGTGTTGATGGGTGAACTGTCTCCACCTGTATATATGTTAATAAATGTTACTAAAGTGACCGGTGACAGTGGTATTGGAGCTTTACCAATCACATATTAATTTACAACTTCTCAGGGAACCTTTATTTTAAAGCAAGTCCTTCGAGTATGCATTTGTGTCAACATCTGAACTGACTTTTCTTTTATTTATGGTTTATTTATACCTTTATAAAAATGCCAAAGCTTTTGTTCAAGATTGAAAAGTTCCTTAGCATTCTGGATCTTCTATCTATTATGTGTTCTTGGTGACTTTAATAATCATATTGACAATGTAAACAAGCCTGAAACACAATGTCAAGTGTATGAGTTAATGTACAGTTTGACCATACTAATCATCCTAACTCTATCTCCTGATGGTGTTTCATCATCAAGTCTGTCTAATGAATTTTCTAATCATTTTACTAGCAAAAATATGAAAACCAAGAAAACAAAAACGATAAATATTTATTTGACATAATATACACAAAAATAGTTTGTCATCCTTCTCACTCATCTGCAACATTTGACCTATTTTGTGAATAAGAAAAAAAAGTACAAGGTAACATCGATTCATCAGATAATTATTTGTGACAGATTTGTTTAAAAAATTTGTAAGTGACATTACCATTTAAATGACCACCTCCTTGAGAGATTGATAAGATATCGACTCATCATGTCAATGACACCACTATTGTTGTCCACGCACATTTCTAAGAATTCCCTTACTTCAGATTCTTCCGAAGCTTTCCAAGATATCTTCCTTTGCTGAATATCTAACAAGAGATTAAATATATTTTAAATAGATTATCTCTTAATAAAATTAACTATTTAAATAGGCAGTAAAATAGTGATAAGTCATAGGTTCAGAAGAAGAAAGTGATCCTTCAAAAAAGTCCTGGCAAATTTGATTATGACATACAGATTAAAAAGCAAAGGTGTAGATGATGAAGACAAAAGGTTTAAGCACGGATATGGAGAAGGCATCTCCAATAGACACATTCCGAGAGGTTTGTTTACAGCCGGTCATGTGACGTACAGTGGGTAACAGATATGGAAAACTTACAAAGCAATCTGTGTGAAAGTATAGTGAAAGGTAATGTTATGTTGGGAAAACAACCGCCCACTGTTGACGTCAGAAATAAATTGCAAGGAAAGGCAATTACAGTTGTTCAAAATAGCGTTTATTTACTTATTACAGCTTCCTCTGTGCTCTGTATGCTTTGGAATTCATGTGATCCTTTGAAAACCTTAGACTAGCCTAGAAATTGCAGCGTTCAAAATCGCAGTTCGCCGATCACAGACTCTCATACATACCTAAACAGGCCGTAGATATGCAGGGGCCTAGGCTTAGCATCTCTTGAAAAATCTCAATGTTTGTGGCCAGTATCTTTTGGAACATTAGCGAACTATCACGAAAAAATTCTCAAAATCAACATTTTTTTGTACACTTTCAGAGGGAAGGGAGGGGGTACCGAAAAAGAGTACTGTTTGTACACTTGTGAAAATGTTGATAATTTTGAACAACCCCTAACCATAATTTAATTATATTTTGACTGCACTAAGAAACAAAGATTTGTAAGATAAAAAATGATCTAATAATCATCATCCAATTATAATATTCCAAATCAAGATGTTTTACCTGGTGATGAAACTGTCATGGATTCAATAGTACTGGATCTGTTTTCTTCACTTGCAATGCAACTGTCTTGACTACTTTCATCAATATCATCAACATTTCTCCTGGTATTTAAAAAAAAAATATTACGATTGTTGGATACATACATAGATCTGCTAATATAATTATTGCATACAATCTATACGTAATGCTATTATCTAATAGCTATCCATACAACTATACCGCAGTTTATCTATTATATTTATGTCAGACAAAACACAGCATGGAAAATTTTGTTCATTGTTGATATTACCTATCAGAAACTATATATTATGCATAAATCAACATCACAAATATTGCTAAATTGGATAGAATACATTTTTTTTTTTTAAATACCAATATGCCTGAAAATTTTAACTACACAATTAAATGAACTCACAACAGGCTGCACAGAGTATCTGTGATTAACTCATTAAAAGTGGTTGGGCGCAGCAGGAATAGTAGGCCTATGGTTTGCCAACCTCAAGGCTGTTGTTTCAATCCCTTGCTGTGCACTTCGCTTTTGTCCTTGAGCAAGGCACTTTATCTGTGTTGCTTCTCTCCACCCAGGAGTATAAATGAGTACCTGGTGGGGTTGCCTACTACTGCACCAATAAAGCAACACCTACGCATGTGGACCCAATGATCAGGGAAAGCGCTTCGTAAAAACCTAAAGGATAGGAGCTACTGTAAAACCTTGAATAGATGCCCTGGGCTTCTTTTTAAGGCTACTTTTGGCAAGGTAAAGAGGAGGGCCTCTTTACAAAATTAATGCCGCAAATTTTTGGAATTACTACCACAAAACAATAAATAGGGCCACAGTAACATCAATCTGTATCAAGGAGTGTATTAACCGGCATTAAAGTACCTAAACGTCTGTATAAACCATTGCATGTTTTAGATTTATTTTGTTTCTTCGATATTCATGTACAGTGTATGTACTGTACTATCTTGAAAGAGAAGCCGATGGGCTTCTTTTCAAGGCTATTTTTCCAAACTAAAGAAGGGGCTTCAATTTGAGATGGGCTTCTCGACATTAAGCCCATTGGGCTTCTACTTGAGGTTTTACTGTATATATACCAATTATCAAATAAATTTCACAGTTAAATATTTAGTTAGGTTACCATGGAATGCATACCTAGGGTAACACAGGCAGTCTCACTGTTCAAATTAATTATTCAATTTCAATTATTCAATCACCTAAAATTGATCATATTACCACTCACGACAGAAATGGAGAAGTTTTTATTAATCTTATTTAGCAAATAATTAATCAAATTTTGATTTGACCTAAGTCGAGCAATTTTTCAATGCCATTCTGGATTCAACAATCTGTATCTCATTTACCATTCCCAAGTTTTTGTCAAACACTTTTTGTATTCTTAGAAAAATCAGTTGTCCAACATATCAACAATAATTTTTCCACTGGCTTTAACGGAAATACCAAAAATATAATAAAAAATTAGGACTTACAGACTTGATGGGAGAAAACCTTGTAGAAGTGTTTGATAATTGATCGTTTCTTCCTTCTTTTTGGTCGTTGTGTTCCTCACCTAATTTAAACACATAAGAAACCTTGATTAGTTATCATAATATGGACTCCAATATGAGTATTATATTATGAAAAAGGCAAAACATTGAAAAACCACAATGGGCAACGATACAAATTGATAAGCAAACAACTTAAACTTCAACTCGCTATTCGTTGTTCACACTAGAAACTCACAGCATGGGTGAACGTACTGTATCAGGGTATCCACCAGGTGGGTTCACATGAAACGGCGGCTGAATAATTTGAATAAGTTTTCATGTGGCTCAACATACGAGCAATTAGGCTCATTTGCCCTAAAATTCCAGAGATAAAAATGCCGAGAATTATATTGTATGGACCCCTATTTGTGTACTACTACTGCAGGTAATAATAGGAGGGCAACTTCACAGTACAGTAGTACTTTAATTTTTTGAATATCAACATAATATTTTATGTTTGAAATGATGTTAATTTTTGAATAGATGATTATGATGTTGATTTTGTATTGTTTTGTATTGTTTTGAAATTGATTGATTGATTGATGATGATGTGTCTCTTTAATAGATTGCTGGGGTATTATTAGAAGTTGCCTTGTGGCTTATCAAGCCTGTTTAAACTGTTTAAACTGGAGAAAGGGAGCTTTGCTTCTGAGAGCACACCTGGTCATGACTGTATTACAGTGCAGGGGTATTAATGCTTCCTAAAATACAAGCTTTACATTACATAATGTTCTATACCTATAATAATGATTAGACCTACAGTGATTTCTACAAGCATTTTTTGTCCCTACCTACTTCAAATGTTCTATACATCTATGCCATGAATATTAGGCATCAACAATGTTAATTATTGTTTTAAATGTTACAGATAAACTTTTGTTTTAAGGAAAGAAGATAATTTGGGGTAAATATACAAATTTCTGTCCGGTTACTTTATGTCCTGCCACCCTGACCATTTTATTTAAAATTATTTTATTCTGCTGTACAAACCAATGAAATGTATTGATATTGCATTAGTTGCTTCTCAAAAGTATGTATTTAAGTACAAATTTTAAGTTTGAATTAATTGAGAAGATGACCTGTTGTCCCATTTGTTGTTCATTTCATCCCACCACCGAAATGTTTTTTTGTTACCATGGCGATTTGATCAAGCAATGTGTTTTCTGTTTTGTCAGAAATGTATGCAACTCCTAGGATGTTCACACTGGTACAATTTTGAGAGTATCCTGGGCCATTCTTAAGGATTAGAGTGGTTTATCCAGATACAGCAAACATTCATGAAATATCTAATAATAATGACCCTTCATGAAAGTGAATGATTAGTTGTATTAGGCCTATACTATTTGTTGCTCATTTGTTATATTTTCCCATACTTAGTTACTACTTTGATTTTTACAGGAGGTAAGGGAGAACCAAAAACTAGGCCTAGTTTTACTCAAAAATTAAAAAGATTTGTTTTATCATCATTTCAGTCATTATTGGCTAACAGCAGGGCAAAGGCCTCCTCAAGCTGAAACCATCCAAGTCTGCCCTCATCTACGGCATGCTGTTAACAATAATGAACATTTACAACGCTGTGCAATAAGCCCATACCCGTTCAAGGTCTTTCAAGACAACCTCTCGAAACCTGAAATTATTTCATCCTCGATTTTTTATGCCAAAGATGAAATCCATGTGGGTCGAGCGCCTCTTTTAAGAATTTGAATTTTTTCTTTAAAGTGCAATATTTCCTTTTAAATCAAATTTATGTTTTTCTATTTTCTACCTATTAACTCAAATTTGCAATTTATAATTTTTATATTGTCTTTAATTTGTAATTCTACACGATAGTACGCAATCTTTATATAATGTGTTTTCTCTTCTTGTCTGTTTTGGCTTGTCTCCTCTTTCTTTTGCTCTTTTGTTTTTCTTTCCTTTGTAATCTGTTTGGGCTCTGTGTCCTTCCCTCATTTACTTTAAGAATGTGATCCTAGGGAGTTTTCTAAATGTTTTCCTTTTATTAATCATCGTAATGTGTTTCTATATTTATTTACTTATTTATTTATTTATTTATTTATTCGACTTTACACAGGCAAAAATACAATATAATATCAATGGTGGACAAATTACACCTCTGATATCAGCTGATCCCGAATTGCACAGACCAAGATATAAAATCAATATAAGTTTTAAAATGTAACACTAAAGGAACTCAAGGCATAAAACAAATACTAAAACAATCTCAAAGAGAAGCTTTGAGGAATTGCACATAGTTGTCAAAAATTTAAATTGAATACAAGTGATTTTTAATATATTTCTCAAAACCAAACACAATTTCGCTTCATAGTGTACCAACATTATTGATTACAGAACATTAAGCATGGATAGCTTTGCTGAAGTCACCTAAAATAAACATGTTAAATTTTACAAATATTGATATAACTTTTATTAATTTTTAACATTCAACATATAGATACTAAGCTTACACGAGCAGATCGCCTCTTGCCAGGAGCTGGTTCATCACCAAGACCTCGTTTCCTTTTTGGTCCCCTTTTGTTTTTCTCAATGTTTATAATACTGCCAGCATAATCATGGTCAGTTTCCATGGGAATTGTCTGAGATTCTGGAAAGAAAAAGAACCCAAAAAAACAAATTGACTAAAAAAAATCGTATCTATATGATGGTTATCTTGATATAGATAAATCGTATGAGAATTGGCCAAATTGCCTTAACATTCAGTTATCTAGATTTTCAGTCGTGACTAAAAACTAAAAGGTAACAACACTGGTCAAATTGTGCAAATGGGGCAGAAAAAAAAAATACCAAAATCTACTGAAAATCTAAAAAAAAAATACCTAGATACCTGCAGTCTTGTCTACTAAAAAGCTAGTAGTACTACTAGTAGATCTACATCTATTGAAATTTTATGTTATGGAATATTGATAAAATAATTTACCTCCCTGAGTATCTTGTGTAGATGAAAGTGTGCTTGTTAGTACACTACTTGAGGCTGGTACAGACTCATCTATCGGGAAGGCAGTCGAAAGCTCATCGTTTTGATGGTGGCACAAATTTACCTTGTCTGTCACACCATCCTTTGGTGCTTCCTCTTTTTGCTGGGGTTGCTCCACGACAGGTTCAGTATCCATAACTTCATCGTCTTTATAGAAATATATTGTAATGAAATACTATATATTTTCATGATTTATTCAGTTTAAAATCAACATGTAATCAACAAAACATTAGTTGGAAAAGTTGAACATATACGCTAGGCTACATTTTAGAGAAAGTCATGATGCTGATTGTATTTTCTTAGTAAGTAAACAATTGATGAGCTTACCATCAGCCAATTAATTCGAATAATTTTTTTTCTACTGTACTTCCCTTACGGGAGTAAACAATAGAGGCTGTTTAATACCTTGTCATTGGTGAACACATCATAGAATTCAAAGGGATAACGTTCTTCCCCTCTCACATTTTATATTCATACGCATTCCTTGACAAATGTAAGCTGGAATTTGGTAAGGAAATGTTATAATTCATCGGAAAAAGAATAATTTCAGATCCACTCACACCCATAATGGCAAAATCCAGCATCTGCCCACGCCCCCAGATTCCTGTGTGATTTCTACGCACAGGTATATAAATACAAAGTTACCATGTAGATGCAGTTCAGTCACCAAAGTTTATGATATGAATCAAAATGACCTTACATTCAATAAAAGTAGCAATACATGTATAGAGTAATTGAGTGTTTTTAGTCAATTTTAGGGATTCTCAGCTATATTAATGTAGGGCTAAGTTTGTATATTGAATAAAATTGAAGCTCCAATGATCATGCAAAGTCTTGTAGTGACCTACTGTAAGTTCTAGAGATGGGAGTGGCCACTCCCACATGAAAAAAAAGGATGATGTAGTGTGAAATGATAAAATAGTGGCTATGAAATGATACAATAGTGGCTTTTACCTATAATCATATTGAGTATGTCTATTTCTGAACCATTTTATACTCAATTTATTATTAGAGAATAGCTGTCTGTATCATGGGTAGACCCTAAACACATTTGCTATTATTGATTATGTAATACACTATAGCTACAATTATAGAGTATATATAGGCCTCATCGTCAGAAAAGAGAATGCAAAATAATTAGGTTAGTATTAGTCCGATGCTTTAAAAGAAAAACATTATTTTAGGATTGTTCAGGTGGACATGCACTGGTAGGCCAACAATGGTCTGTGGGCCACCAGTTAAAACCCCTAGTCAACTTATAAGTACTGTGATTTTCATGAAATGAAAGTAATTAGTAAAATAGATGCGAAGTCAGATAACAAAATTAATCTACAACTGGTAGAAAGGTTTGTGAACAACAGTGTACATATTTAACAATTACATCATACAGTAGGTACCATTACAATGTGGAAAATTATCTCGTATAAATTTTATTCATGGGTTTGATGGTTATTTGTCTTTAAATTTACTACTATGTCACAATTACTCAATAACAATGCAACAGGATATTGTTATAGGAAATGCCTGTTGAATATCAAACAATTTAGACATTATTTTAGAAAAACAGATTAACTTGATAATCCACCCTACTTACCATTCTTTCGCAAACAACCAGCTAGGTCAACTTGACAACTAAAACTCTGAAAGTGGATTTAAAATTAAACCATTAAAACAAATTTAGCATTGTAAAACAATTGAAGTTTTTTTTTTTTTGGAGAGTTATGTATAAAAAGCAATTAAGTAGGATTGAAATGACTAGTGATGTATGAAAGAGGATTGTTCACTGTTTAATCATTTCAAAACTAAGGTAAATGCACATGAACGTACAGTTTTTGATCTCGGAACTAGTAATATGCACACAAATGTAGAGTTTTTAGTCTTGAAACCAGTAGTAAATGCTACTTATACTATCAATTTTGAAAAATGGATGTTGATTGATGTCCCCTGAGACAGCATGTAGAAAAACAACAAACACATTTACAGTTGTAAACAGTTACATTTTGGTTTGTTCATCTTGCCAATTCTTCTTGTCAAAATTAGGATTAAATACAAGACTATAAAACTTTACTTTAAACATCCAATCCAATTTTTGAAGTTAGACAAGGGTCATACTAAATGACTGGCTTGAAATAAAACAAAACAAACTCATAATTTTTCAAAGTTTAATTAACTCGCAAGTGCAGAAAGATCTTTTTCCAAGTTCCAAATATTAGGAATTGTCTGATGTTGACAATTGCACAAGAAATACTAGAATCACTCTCTCTATTAAATATCGATAGAACATCACCAGGCTCAGTAAATCGACAGATAAATTAAGTATTCACGAAATAGACTGATAGATTTGTTTGCGGAAACTATATCCGGTGCTGAAAGTTTCTGTGATAGGCCTGCACCTAGTCTATGTCGATTGTTGAAAAAGCATTTTGAATGAGTCACTATAGTCGATTAAACAACAATTATCATTTATTTTAATACAAAATATTTTACTTGATCCCCTTGTGTGTTAAAAATTGTACTGCCACAGAAATATAATATACACAGAAAAAAGTAAAAAATTGAATTGCTTATTCTCTATTCTTTTAGTTAGTTATAGCTTTCAACATAAATTAAAATGGACATTTGATTAACACTATTCCTATAGTTTTGCATAACTTATTTCACATTCCTGCAAGCAATTGTTTTAAACTCTTATTTTAAACCTTTTACTATATAGGATTATGTCAGCCTGATATCATGTGATAGGATTTCCAGTGAAAGCAAAAGAGCACTATTACTTTTTTACCTCGTACACTCACAATTTTTTATTTATCAATAAAGTTTCAATTCTATTATTTTCTCCTCAGTCTAGATACTTTATTTAAGAAAAAACATTTTACTAAAGTTTTGCAAAAGAAGAAAACACATTTTTATTTTTGCCCTCCTCTGACTATCTTTATAAATAGAGTTTGCTAAAAAAAGTACTGTATAAATTAAAGTCTCCTCTTATGAATTGAAGTTGAAGTTAAATTCTAGTTCAAGATAGTTCTTTTTAAAAATATGGGCGTTAGTGTCACCAGTATAATCATCACCATTATCATAATTAAAACAGTGTCCTCAGTATAATCATCACCCTTATCATAATCAGTGTCATATACCTTTATCATAATCAGTCTCATCAGTAAAGCCATCACCCTTTAAACATAATCAGTATCATCTGTATAATCATCACCCCATAAGTGTCATCAGTATAATCATTACTATTATCATAATGTAAATCAGTGCAATCAGTATAATCACCTACATTATCATAAGTGTCATCAGTATAATCAGTATAGTATAATCATTACCCTTATGAATGGTGCCATCAGTATAATCATCATCCTTCAAGGTGATGATAATACTGATGACACCGATTAATGGTAATACAGTACCATTAATCGCTGCCATTAGTACAATCACCCCTATCATTATTCAGTGTCATCATTACAATAAGTTTGTACATTTTCAGTTGTAACAAACTATATGATTGATTGTTTGACTGATTGATATATTTGTGGTTATGACAAAAAATGTAACCTTGCATAATCTCTAAATATCTCTCCTCAAATCTTTCCTTCATGATTGACTGATAAGCCATAATCACTTCCAGATTAAAACAACATTAAATGTGTTTTTCATGATTTGTCAGCATAAAGCCTGGTTTCTATTTTAAAAAATCGCTACACATTATCGCCGATTCATCAGTTGAATCAGTGAGCAATCTCAATTATATAAGGGACGGATACACAGTGTAAGGATTGCAGTGAAAATGCTGTAGTGACTGTGTAGCGATTCTTTTGAAACCAGGCTTCAAACTAGCCTTAGGTTTATACTCACCAATGGCCTTTGACTTCCATCTAGATAGTCATAAAGTGACACTAAACATTCCCCAAGACATTTCCATCTGCCAAAATTAATATTCTGTCTTAGTTTTTTGAAGACTTAAATTGAGTTAATGATTATTTTCATTCTCCTCATAAGTCCACCACACATAGAATACAGTTATGCAAATGTGGCAAAGACAAGCCAAACCAGTCACTCGTCGCAAATCGTGTTGCAGAGAAAATGGCCAAAACATGCTGGAATGTCAAATTTTTAAAAATCTATTTTATTGCACTAAACTAACCTTTATCTACACATCATTCTATGCTGCTATTTTCCCCATTTTCAATGTTAAAACAACAATTTTTAAGGATTTAAAGATAGTTTCTGCATGAGAAATGCCTGAAATCATAAACTTTGAAGGCTGATTTCTCATATATTGTTCTTTAAACAGCTGTGTGATTAAACGCTTTAACTTCATAAGGAAATGTCCGATTTGAATGATTTTTTTACCATTTTATAGCTATTATTTTACTCTCTAACACTGTATTAATAACTCAAAATCGAATTTTGCGACGAGTGACTGGTTTGGCTAGTCTTTGCCACAAATGGTTTTCTTACATCTCAAAATAACAATCTCCATTAAATTTATGACAGTCAACTTTGCCTAAGTTGACAAATTGACTAATGCAAATGCAAATTTTTTTCATAATGTTCTCATTCAGCATTCTCGGTGCATTTTACACTTTTAAATTCATGTGAACCATGAGGTGCAGTAGCCTAGAAATCATAGTAATCTTGAAACTAAATTGTATCATTGTGAAGCTGTCACTATGTACAAGATTTTTCATAATCTAGCACCATCTTATCTGACTAAGCACTTTGCACTCAAAGAAAAAATGTATAATACACGATCCAGTGATGTCCCAACACTACCTATAAGGAGAAAAGTTTCAGTCACCATGGTGCTAAGTTATGGAACAATCTTACAGATGATGTAAGCTTCAAAAAGCTTTTGTAAACTAAAATTAACAAGTGTTACTGGTGCTTGTTCTTTGTAAATTGTGTGTTTTACAGTACAGGTACCTGTATTCTTTTCCTTTTATCGTTTTTTATATTGTTATAATGGCATCACTGCCTTGTTGAAAAACACCGGTTGGGTGATACAAGCTTCCGTGTGTAAATAAGATTTTATTATTATTATTATTATTATTATAGTATGATCTACAGTACAGTACAGTAGTATTATTATTATTATTATTATTATTAGTACACGCACTATGAGAACAGAAAATTCTCACATAGGCCTTGGCTAGGCCTACATAAGCTGGTTGATATGCAGGGTTAAGCGAGGTTGACTGTATATTCTTTTGAGGAGAAGAGTTCATACAAAAGGTTATGGTTTGAAAACGATTGACCTCAAGAGAATTTGAACATTTGAGGCTTGCAATCGCAAAACCAGCGTACTATTGCTAAATGTTGAATTGAGAAATAAGCATAAGATTGTGGCATTATTGTATACTTTAATACAGAGGAGCTATACTGTAATTACTCATAATGTTGGCAATAGTATAATAAGTCAATTCCAGTAAATGACTCATCATTTTATAGATGTACTATCTATCTTCCAACGAGAAATAGATCGAAATGTAGTGGTTTTTACCAATTTACAGACATTTTAATACAAAAATCCTAAAACTGATTACTAGCAAATTCAAGGACCTATGCAAAGGAATATAGAAAGGTTATTATTTAACTGTCCAAAAATAGACCGGGGGAATTTTTTTAAAATTAACATTATTAATTTTAAGTTAATAACTTACTTTAAAAAAATATACAAATTACGCAATTCAAATGAATATGAATACTGTATATTTCCTTGTTTTGGTCACTGATGCTGGTTTGGTATGGCAAGCTCCATTTATTAATGAATTCCTCTGTCATCAAATAAATCCTAATCAATTCTTAATGTATGATTGAGGCCAAACAATGTTTTGAAAAAGTTGTAGGTTATATATTTTATTTTATTCATGGCATTTATATTGTAATGTGAAATGAAGTTAGAAGATGTAGTGATATGGTATACAACATTATGCTGCCCTCAATCTGACCATAAATCGCCATTACGCAGCATGTGCAGCACACATAAGACAGTTCCAGTGAACATGCCATTTTACTGTATAACTTACAGTGTTATTGAATAAAACTTGTTTTATTATTATTTATTTATTATTTATAATATTACATATGTTTTAATAATGAGTCGACTATCATTAAAGAAGATACATACGTGAATGCTTTTAATGGCTTTTGGAACTTGACAAGTATTGGTGCAGGTTTCTTACTTAGTTGTTCTCTTGTTTTCCGTAGATCTAGTGCTTCTTCCACAAACTGCAATTGTAAACAACCAATCAAAGTTACATATAAAATAACCAACTAAAAAAAACAGCTGAACTCTTAGTAGTCAATGGGCAGCCTAATTTAGCCATATTACTTTTTATCATTATTTTTTCTTACTTCTCCACTATAAAACTCTTAAAAGAAAAAAAAAAGCTGTCACTTATAACAAACTTTTTTCAACTGCTTGCAAAAAATTCAAGAAACTTATACCATATATTTTCGCATATATTTTCGCATATATTTTCGCATATATTTTCACATATATAAGGAGACTTAAAATAGCAAATCATGATCGAAAAACCAGAGAGTCATCTTTAATACATGGATCAAGATGCAAGAATATATGGTAATACTGTAGTAAAATATAAATTATATACGACATCACTTTTGCATAACCTCCGACAAATCCAAAAGATTCTGGTTGTGGGTTAAATCTAAAACCAGGAGTTCTGGATAGGTTGATACTGGGTCAAAGATCAACAGAATCTGAAACCGATAAAGCTAATTTATTATAATAGTTTCAGTCAATTATCAAACAACAACTCACTGAGTGTATTGCTGAAGGAGACCAGCTTCAATAAAATAACAGGCGAACAGCTCCTTCACTACTGTTCATTACCGGAGGAGCCAGTCTGCTATTTTTAGCATTTGACCTACAGTTGTTCATACAGCCGCATGTGTACATTCCGGAGTTGGTGGGATACAAAGAATCAAATGACTTTATGCCTGACCTTGTGTCTGTTTCTCCTCTCCCATGAGTAGCGTGACAACCTATTAGGATGGTTTTTAACTAAATTTACTTTGAAGGTGCAGCCCTCGCAACAAAAACTCACTTAGGACTTAGGACCAATTTTCATGCGTATTTGTTCTTGTAGTAAAAATACCATTTAAAGTCTTTTTCTTTTCCAAGCTATGTCATTGACAGTTAATGTGATCCTTAGAAAAGAGTAATGATTTTTTTCAATTTAAAGGATTGCTATAACTTTACGAACCATCTTTTCTGCAGTTATGATCTCTTTCCATTGTACAGTAAAAACAGATCAGAGCAAAATGTCTACAACTGTACAGTTCAGAATAGTCACTAAATAGCTAACAAACATTTTGGTTTACAAATAAATAACAAATATTTTATTATTATTACTTTTTAAGTGGATTCTGTATTTACATGTATTTATATTAAATATCAATAAATATAGTTCAAATAAATTGTTTTAATAAATTAATATTACTTTTATTTTAATTTAGTGCAACAGAGATTAACTCACACAATTATAATGTTTATATGCTTAATATGTATCAATTATTTCAATGACAAAATATATACAAAAAATAATTGAATTGGATAATTAAAAATAATGTAGATTTAGACAAAAAATAAGATTTAAGATCATCTTCAATACCAACTTACTAAAAAAGAGATATCTATAGCAATTTAAATTTGTTAGTAAATAGAGTTTGCTGCTGTTTCTGAAGTCACATAGACAAGGATATCTATCTTCCGCTACAGGTACCAAGGGTGCTGCCTTATGGCTGTGAGCTGACTCACAGCATTAACGACTGAAGGAAGTCCAAATTAGAGTGCACACTATCTACTTATAAATAGCAGGAATTTCTAGCTAAAATGGGATTGTTTCGAGCTCAATCAAAATCACTCAACTTGCAAACACTATATTTTGAAAACGTTAAATATCAAATTTTACAAAAAAACTAATGATTATGTTCTGACAGAATAAAAATAATATATTTTATCACAAATGTTGTACACAAAATAAATGAAAAAAAAGGACAAGTAGTTTATGCTTTAAAGTTGAACAATTAACATGAAGTACAGTTAAACCAAAAATATGTACTGTTGAACATTTTTTTTTGTTTACTTAAAAACTGTTCTAAGAAACCAGATGATATTACTATTGTGTATTTGTTGTTTCCAAGTTGGATTTCATATATTTTTACAAATTCCTAATTCCAAAATCCAGATGATAAGTACAAAATTGGGAAAACATTTAAGAATAGCATCCAAAAGCTAAATGAAAGATGAATACTTAACTACTACAGTAGTACCAGTATGAGTAAATTTCTTACATTTAAGTTTCTTTGAGTGGTACCGCATCATTCCTTTCATACTCAACACAGTATTGGTTTTTTTGCAGTGCTCAGTAGTGGAGTCAATGTTTTTGTGTTTTATTTTTGTATGTTAAAATTAAGCACTACCCTTTAAGAATGGCCTGAACATACTGTACCTAAACATGGCATTATTACTGATGTTATAATTTATTATCACACGGTCGAAAACAATATCTGATGCAAAAAAATAATTACTTAAATGGTTCAGACACAAACTAAATTTTTTAAAAGTATTTAAATAAAATTGGTACAAATGGATAAACAATAAACATCATGAAACTATCTAAATTTAATTTTACCAAAGTAATTCTAGTTAACCGTATGAACTGAAGTACAGTACAGTATTAGAAATAAAACAAGATTATATTAAAATCAGAGTAAAACGTTTTTAACGATAACATCCTAATAGTAACAGCAGTAGTAGTAGCGAGTTCTCAGTCATTGCTTACTAAGCTCCGCCTACAATGATGAATCAGAATTTGAAATATCACCAATGCTTTCCAAATCAGGGGAAATTTGAATTTGACCACACATTTGAAGACTATTGCAAACAGTTTTAACGAAAATTCTGACATTATTTATGGCGAGTTAGAGAAACGGAATATGTTGTGGTAAGAACTCAATTGTATTACTAAAACATTTTTTGGATTTTAAAGATGATTTCAATATTGTTTTACTTCTTCCAAGCTTTTACAATATTGTTGTGAAATATTAAGTTGCTGTAACCTAGGATACAATATTTATGGTAAGTATGCAGTATTATTTTACTTATATAAATACAAGCACACAGTAAATACTAAGTGCTGCATAGGCAAAAATGTTTACATAAAGTATACAATAAGCAACAACTTATTGAAAACTTTGTCAACCACACCCAGTCTATCTAAAATATTGTATGCATATCACAATTATACATTTACAGTTAAATTTGATATGCATGAGCATGCAGCTAGCACTATGGTGTTTATGCATGTGTATGTGCAAGTCGTAAAAAAGATAGCTTTCGTCATCGCACAGTTCACAGTAAGACATTTGGTCATTCAAAATTCTACTGCACACAATAAGTGCTTATGGCAAAATCCATGAATGACATTTGACGTTTTTAAAATTTAAACAGTTAATGAGTTTAAGACTGGTTTCCTTAAAATCGCTACACTGTCACTACAGTGTTTTCAGTGGAATCGTTGTACTGCGTAGCAGTCCCTGACGTAATCAGTGTCACTGAAAGTAGTTGGCGATAGTGTGTAGCAATTGTGTGGAAACCAAGCTTTACTCAAATCAGAGAAAGCCGACAAACATGAAGACTCCAAATAAAAATGCACACAGTGAATATATATGGTACACACATACACGCACACACTATAGTTCATCCAAATACAAGTACCGTATATTCATCAGCTTACCCATACTTGAGTTCCTGGACGCACCCTAAGATCATCTGATGATATTTTTCTCTACTTTCCCAGCACATCCTTAAAAACTATTGGCCATAAATTTTCTATGTTTGTTTTGCCTACACATTAGAATTCACTCCCTGCACACATTAAAAACTGTTTTTCTGTTGCTTCATTTAAAAAATTACTTAAAACTCACTTTTTCCATCATTAACATGCACATGCCTTTGATAATGCGCCTCGGTTATTGTTTAACTGCCACTGTATAAATTCTAATATTATTACTAATTATCATAAATAAGCTCATCCTTAAAGAGGAGTTTTGCCCTTTTAAATACTTTTTTCAAACTGATTTAGTACTTCATAACGAATGTCCGAATTACGGATCTCTTTCGAAAACATATACATTACTCTCTTAACAAGATTTAGTATGGCATCACCAGAGTGCATTGATCCATGTTTAGCACAGACCATTGTAATACAGAGGATTTAGGATGAGTACTTTGTTGTATTGCTTTCCTTGTATTTGTACAAAATGATTTCAAATAGCTCAGGTGGATAATGAGTGGAGTTGAATAGCTTGGTGGTTAAGATGCTTGCCTTCCAATCCTAGGGTCCTGGGTTCAATTCCTGTCAGTGTTGCAGGATTTTTCTCACGACCAAAACAACTCCACTCCCTAAATCTCATATTGAGATTTAGTTGTGTAAAGCATTGTGCGTGTATGTTTGTCTTGTGTAAAGGATTGCCATCTACAAGTAGGATAGCGATATATTCGCTATTGACAATCCTTGGCACATGTATTGTGTGCCTAAAATAAAATTTTAAAAAATGAAGTAGCATTTACAGGCCTACAAGTTCAAGTTCAAGTTTTATTTCAAAATATCATCATTGTAGCTTTGCAGCTAAATTGCGAATGATACATTAGGAAAAAAAATGGACCTGGGTCTATACATTGCACAAAGATTACGAAACAACATTTATATATAAATTCAAAATATAAGGGTAAAGATACACAACAGTAAAAATATATTGATTTAAAAATTAAACTATGATTTAGGTTTAGGATGAACTGATTAATCTGGGCTTAATGTTAATATTGAGGTTCAAGTAGATAATGCAAGTCTTAAGTATTTGGCTGGTTCAAGATATTAATGAGGTATGGAATTGGGCTTTGCTTGTATCTATTAGTTCTGAAAGTAGGTGGTTTGAATTGATTTTTCTTTCTCAAACTATATTGGTGGTCTATTTGAGCAGGTATCCAGGATCTAAAATTGGTGATTTGCATAGTTGGTAAGCAAATTCTAAGCATAATTTTTGCGAAGTCATTGTGGAGAGTAGCACATTTTTCTGGGTTCAGATTCAGATTATTGTCCACTGTCCATTTACTGAGTTCATTCAATCTTATCTGTAGGTTAGAAGGTGATTTTTGGCTGTAGTTCTGGATAAGGGTCATGTCATCAACATATTTGAGG